AAGTAAGCTATTTTATTTAGGTTTAATTAGGTTAAGACATGAAATTTTTTGGTGTCATTTATTCATCAAAAATATTAATTATAGCCCTGGCTGATGGGGCTCAGTGGATTGAATGCAGGCCTGCAAGCCAAAATGTCACCCATTCAATTCACAGTCAGGGCACATGTCTGGGTTGTGGGCCAGGTCCCCAGCAGGGGGAGCACAAGAGGCAAACACATGTTGATGTTTCTCTTTTTCCTTTCCATCTAAAAATAAATAAAATCTTTTAAAAAATATTAATTATAATGGCATGACTTATTTTTTAATTATATTTTACATTTTTATTTTATTGATTATGCTATTACAGCTGTCCCATTTTCTCCCCTTCATTCCCTTCCACCTGGCACATCCTCTCCCACCTACATTCCCCCCCTTTAGTTCATGTTCATGTGTCATAAGTTCTTTAGCTTCTACATTTCCCATACTATTCTTGCCTTCCCTCTGTCTATTTTCTACCAACCATCTATGCTACTTATTCTCTGTACCTTTTCCCCCTCTCTTCCCCTCCCACTCCCCTGTTGCTAACCCTCCATGTGATCTCCATTTCTGTGCTTCTGTTCCTGTTCAAGTTGTTTGCTTAGTTTCTTTTGGTTTTGTTTTAGGTGTGGTTGTTAATAATTGTGAGTGTGCTGTCATTTTACCGTACATATTTTTATCTTCTTTTTCTTAGATAAGTCCCTTTCACATTTCATATAATAAGGGCTTGGTGATGATGAACTCCTTTAACTTGACCTTATCTGAGAATCACTTTATCTGCCCTTCCACTCTAAATGAAAGCTTTGCTGGACAGAGCGATCTTGGATGTAGATCCTTGCCTTTCATGACTTGGGATATTTCTTTCCAGCCCCTTCTTGCCTGCAAGGTCTCTTTTGAGAAATCAGCTGGTGGTCTGATGGTAACTCCTTTGTAGGTGATTGTCTCCTTATCTCTTGCTGCTTCTGGTATTCTCTCCTTCATTTTTTTTACCTTGGCTAATGTAATTATGATGTGCCTTGGTGTGTTCCTCCTTGGGCCCAACTTCTTTGGGACTCTCTGAGCTTCCTGGGCTTCCTGGAAGTCTATTTCCTTTGCCAGATTGAGGAAATTCTCCTTTATTATTTGTTCAAATAGTTTTCCACTTGTTGCTCTTCCTCTTCCCCTTCTGGTACCCCTATAATTCGGATGTTGGAACTTTTAAAGATATCCTGGAGGTTCCTAAGCCTCTCCTCAATTTTTTAAATTCTTATTTCTTCATTCTTTTCTGTTTGGTTGTTTCTTTCTTCCTTCTGGTCCACTCCATTGATTTGAGTCCCAGTTTCCTTCCCATCACTATTAGTCCCCTGTGCATTTTCCTTCATTTCACCTAGCATACCCTTCATTTTTTTCTTCTAATTTGCAACCAAATTCAACCAATTCTGTGAGCATCCTGATCACCAGTGCTTTGAACTGTGCATCTGATAGGCTGGCTGTCTCTTCGTCCCTTAATTGTATTTTTTCTTGAGCTTTGATCTGTTCTTTCATTTGGTCCTTTTTTTTTTTTTTTTGTCTTGTCGCACCTGTTATGTATGATGGGCGGAGCCTTGAGTGTTCACCAGGATAGGGCAACCCACGTGGCTGGGTTGTGACCCTGTATGTGAGCCAGGGGTCTGAGAGAGAACAATGACACTTTTTCTGCTTTCTGTCAGACTTCAGTCCCTTTCGCTGCTTCCCCCAAGCAAACTGGGCCCTTCTGGTGCTGATTCCCATGTGGGTGGGCTTGTGTATATTTTAGAACCCTGTGGGTCTCTCCAATGAACTCTCCTGTGAGGTTGGGAGTCTATTCTGGCACCTCAACCCCCACGGGTATTTTCAATCAGTGGTGTGAAGCTTTATTTCCCCTGCAGTGGGACCCTGGGTTGCTCAGTCTGTCTTGCTCCCCAGTTTCACCTGGTTTATCTGTGTTGGAATGTGGGACCGCCGGGTCTGCCAGTCGCCGCCTGCGCACCCAGGGTCCACCCACTGAGGACTTGCACACCCGGTGTTTGTTGGCTGCTGCCTTGTGCGCCTGGTGCCACCGCTTTTGTTTTGCTGAGACCCCTCTCCACCTGGCCACCCAACTCCGCCCATCCTACTTGTCTGGATGAATGTGTCTATTTTAACTCCTTGGCTGACAGACTTCCATACAGTTCAATTTTCTGTCAGTTCTGGTTATTTTGCTTCTAAATTGTTGTCCTTTTTGTTGTGTGAGGAGACACAGTGTGTTTACCTACACCTCCATCTTGGCCGGAAGTTATATTTTATTGTTATTAAAGTTGTCCCAATTTTTCCTCCTTTGCCCCCCTCTACCCTGTGCCCCCTACTCCCCTCAGGCAATCCCCCCCCCACTATTTTTCATGTCCATGGGCCACACATATAAGTTCTTTAGCTACTCCATTTTTTATACTGTACTTTACATCCCATGACGATTCTGTAACTACGTATTTGTACTTCTTAATCCCCTCATCTCTTAACTCATTCTCCCCTTACCCCCTCCCATCTGGCAACCTTCCGGTAACTAACTTCTTTTCTCTTGCTTTTGAGTCTCTGTCTTTTAACTTTTGACCTTTTAATAATGATGGGCCTCTTTGTATTCATAATTGGGACTCTCTGCACTTCCTGGACTTGCATGTTTATTTCCTTTTCAAAATTAGGGAAGTTTTCTTTCACTGTTGTTTCAGATAGATTTCTACTTTCTTGCTCTTTCTCTTCTCCTTCTGGTACCCCTACAAGGCAAATGTTATGCCCCTTCAAGTTGTCCCAGATGCTGTTTATACTATCCTCATTTGCTTTTTATTCTTTTTTCTTGTTCTTGTTCTGTGTGGTTGTTTTTTGCTTCCTTATGTTCCAAATCATTGATTTGATTCTCAGCTTCATCCATTCTACTATTATTTCCCTGTAAATTATTCTTTATTTTAATCAGTGCATCCTTCATTTCTGACTGGGTCTTTTTTATACTGCTGAGGTCCTCATTAAGTACCTTGAGCATCCTTATAACCAATGTTTTTAACTCTCCATCTGATAGATTGCTTATCTCCATTTCATTCAGCTCTTTTTCTAAAGTTTTGGTTTGTTCTTTCTTTCACGCCATGTCTCTTTGTCTCATTTTGGCAGCCTTCCTGTGTGTTTCTATGTATTAGGTAGGGCTGCTTTGACTGTCTTGGTAGTGTGTCCTAATGTAGGAGCTGTCCTATAGGGTCCAGTAGCTGGGTACTCAAGGTGTATCCTCCATGTGGACTGAGTACACTCCATGTGGACTGAGTACACCCTCCTCTTGTAGTTGAAACTTGGTTGCTGTTGGCAGATCAATGGAAGGAATTTACCCAGGTCAGTCAGCTGCAAGGACTAGCTGTAACCACTGACTACCAATCTCCACCCCCCATGGAGGATCAGCTGTGCAGGGGCAGGTTGGTGGTGCCCTGCTGTGGTCTGTAGCTGTCCACTGGGTGCACTGGCCCTGATGTTTCCCTGATAGTGCAAGCCAAGGTCAGCCCCCACCTGCATTTTGCCAATAGCTCCTTGCCCGAGCTGTAAAGCAATCTGAGATGGCTGCTATTTGTGCTAGGCTTGGAGATTTCCGGGTAAAGCCAAGCTGTGACTCTTATCTGGCTGCTGCTGGGGCTCACAGAAGCCAGCTGTTGTTTGTTTGATAAGACTTAGGAGCAAAGACCAGCCATTCTTATGGAAAAGCAGCTTGGGTGGGCCTGTAAGTTGAGTGGGGTACAGCCTCTGTGGATCTCCAAGGTGGGTCACAGTGTTAGCTAGGTTGATGGAATCTCAGGTATGACAACAGCCTGCCAGTTCTGTGGGGGAAGGGCTCTGCAAAAAGACAATGGCCTCTGCTTGCTCAGATGCCAGAAATTTCCGTTCCTCCCCATACTGTTCTCTTCAAGGTGCTACCCAGTACTGAAGCTCAGAGGGAGTGAGTCTGAGTAGGTGAGTTGGTGTGTGGGTTTTTTAAGAGAAACAGCTTAGGGTTCCAGCAGCCTCCTCCACTGCCTCAATCCCTACTGGTTTTTGCAGCTACAAGTTGTGGGAACTTATCTTCCTGGCACTTGAGGGGGGCCTGCTGTTGGTCTGGGACTCCTCACTCCTGAGATATTCCCCCCCCCGAAATTTTTATCCACATGGGCCTGGGGTCATCCTGTTTCACGTCTGCACCCCTTCTCCCAGTCTGGAGGGATGTAGTTTCTTCAATCCTGTAGTTGTCAGACTTCCATTCAACTTGATTTCTGATATTCCTGAGTGATGGTTGTTCTGTATTTTAGTTGTAATTTTGATGTGGTTGTGAGAAGAGGTGAGCCATATCTGCCTACATTGCCATCTTGACCAGAAGCCCCACAAAATTTATTCTTATATGGAGGTTCAGATATAGTACATTCACTATCTTAGTCCTCACAGTCTGGGCTACTGTGTGACAGATGTTATTATCCACATAAATAGATTTACTTATTCATTTCACCCAACAAATACTAATTGAATCCCTGCTTTATTATGCACCGTTAGGAATATAGCAGTGAATGAAACAGACAAAAATCACTGCCTTCATAGCATTTACATTCTCAACAAACTACAAATAAGTATATTTTATATCATGTTAAATAAGTACTTTGGAGAAAAATAATATACCCCCCTCCTGGGATGGGGGTATCAATTTTAAACAGGGTTATAAGAGATAGTGGCATTTAAATAAAATCACAAGTCAAGATGGGGAAACTGAGGCTCAAAAAGTAACTTGTTCAAAGTCACAAAATTAACACATCTAATAAAAGTACTTTTGAACACAATAAGGAAGTCATCTGGAGTCTTGGCACATCATTTTATAAAAGCTGTTTTGTTAAGCTCTATTGAGACTCTGGGATTGGTCAAAACCACACTAAATCTTCCTTTTAGATATCTCTAATTATTTAAGTGTGCCCATTAATCCAGAAATGAAAACATTAAATTTGTGTTTATTTTTATTTCAGGCCAAAGATTCCCAAAAAACAAGAAAGATTCTTAGGAGGATATGGTGGAAACACTTCAAAAAGATTATAATCATCAGTGTGGCAATTCTCCTTTCAATCATCATCATTCTTTTAAGTACAAATATAATACCAACTTAATCCCTTTTCTTTCCATCCCCAATAGGTACCAATAAATTGTTACATGTAATTAGAGTTCTGTAACCAACAATCATGAAAGTATTCTCTCCTGGTAGGACTGGAGGAGGAGGGAACTGGAAGTATTACCTTGTCCCTTGAGTGTCCCTTGACTCATCACTGTACACCCATTCCTTTTCTATAATCTCATTTGTTCTACTACACTGGTCTACTACTTCCCTAGCCTCCCTTTAAAAAGCACAAACCCCGGAATCAGACTGCCAAGGCTTAACTCTCTATTCCGCCACATACCATCTAGGTGACTTTGAACAGTCAGTTAAACTGTACTCATTCCCCTCATCTGTAAAATGAAGCTAATACCACCACCACATAGTTTTATGTCTACCACAGAGCAAGTGCTATTTAAGTGTTAACTATTACTTAATAGGAAAAGATGATAGAATTAATGGCATTGATTCAATTCCTATAATTTTATCCTTACTCAGAAATGAGCTTGTACTCAAAATTCCCTTAGAAATATGAGAATCTGAACATGAGTATAGTCTAGAGATACATATTTTTACCTCTTGTTCGAAGTGTTTCCTTTGAAATGGAAATCGAAACCATTGTGTTTTCTATTAGGCATTTTCCTTGGGTAAAGATAAAAAAATTGTGAAGCTTATCATTTCCATAATAAATCACTGGTTTTGTCTTCCTATCTTACCACCTTAAAGGCCTGTTTTTATATTTTTTGAGATGATATACTAAGATTTCTAATAACCAAAACATTCAAGTTCATTTTGCAGTTTGTAACAAAATTTCATGAGTTCTATTTCCTAAGTGGGAACATAAGGTCTACAGTTGGTTTTAAAAATCATTTAGTGATCCACGGGGAAGAATAAAAGATTAGAAAAGGAGTTCCTGGCTGCTAGATAATTTATTTTAATTCTGATAATAATCAAATATTGTAATTTTAAATAGGCACCAATTCCTTTAGCACGATATAATCTTTCTACTCACAAAATATTTTTAAAGGATGTTAAATGTTAAAACCTTTGGTGGGAATAGGTAATCTATTGAATATTTACTCTGATACCATGTACCAAGTGCTTTAGGGGATATCATTTTACAATGACATGAAGAGGCAAAAACTATTAAGTTAGCATAATATAAAGCTCATAGAATAGGCTGGCACATAATAAATGCTATGACAATGTTAGCTCATATTATCTTCACTGTACAAATAGCCAAGTTGGTAATGAAAAAAAATAAACTGTATAAAAAAGAAAATAGCAAAGTTAAATGACACATTCAAGATCACACAGCTAGGAAGCTGGTATTTTTACTGATTCAAGTAATGACTGTGGTATATGGCCATGAAGCCCATGTTTCATTCAGAGTATATTATCTGACCCCTTAATTGTGGGCCAGACAAGACACACCAGTAATATTTTTATTTTTACCAGGTTGGTAGGTTTTTTGGACAGGAATTTAGAGTATAGTAAGGACCTGCCATGTATTTTGCTGCCACTATTTTTGAAACTCTATAAAATTTGCCTAACATTTTTATACTTTACAATTATGTATAAAATATATTTATATTCTGGTTGCCACCGAATACTAGCATATTTGTTGCTAGAAGACATGGAACTTAAAGATCACCTAATCTAGCTCCACCCCCAATTTTACATATTATCATGCCAAAACGCAGAAGCCTAAAAATAGTAACATGCCTCTGCAGGCTCTTCACTTGCAGCATGTTGAAAGCACAGGCTATCATCCTGCTTCCAGGCAACAAGTCCACATAATGCCTGTTTCCTAGGCAGTCTTAGAGTTTAGCAGCTCTCAAGATGACTTACATTTTTATAAACTGGTGACAGCTACTAGAAAGAAAAGCATTTGTTTAGTATTTATACTACATCTATTAGAACATAACTGAGTAGAAAGAAATATTTAGGCAATCTTAGATCTTTCATTTATTGTGCATTCAAGTTTTGAGCCCCTACTCTGTGCTACAACAGTTCTAAACATTAAGATTTATTCTAAATTACCACATTGATAGAAATAACCAATTTTGAGAAATTAATGGGTACGTATAGAAGTGTTAGGGAAGTTTACATTCCAACTGATAAGTGACCAACAGAAATCACAAACATGTTAAAAACACCTAAAATTTTTCAATCCCAAAACAACTGTATGTTTTGCCTTTCCCCGTGAAACTTATTTGACCTATTTCCTGTCTCCACAAAGGGAATCATGGCTATTCTATAATCTAGAACTATCTTAGCCTACCTTGACTTCTCCCCTCCCGCCCATTTCATCTTCCCAAATTTACTCACCAAAATTACACAACTTCTATGTCAAGTCTCCAGAAGGTTCACAGCCAGAGAGCCCACAACAAAAGTAGAGAGTCCATGCAGGTGCCCCGGCAAGCATCAGAAAAGGGCACTCACTCATCTCCTCATGGTGAAGGGCTGTCTACTCCCCATGGCCTGGCCACATCATACTCTTCATATTCAGACTGCCCAGCACATACAAGAATTAACATTTGATACTTTCTCATATACATGATTTCCCTATTTCTTAAACATGGTCATAACAATAAACATGAAGCTTTGGTATTCAATCTTCAGCATTAGAATCACCTAGGGATCTTAAGTAATACAGATGCCTGGGCTCCACCCCTGAAGATTCTGCTTAAGGCTAGGATGGGGCCTCAAAGTGTATATTTAACCCCATGATGAAGTTAAAACTTACTATCCTCAAAGTACTTTTCACATGTCCATACCTGAGAAAAATAGAACTGTACAGTTGGAAAATGATGCCAGAAGTTAAAATTTTATTTGCCCATCACAGGGCAAACGACAGAGCTGAACCTCAAAACCATTCATTTGAAAGGATCTATTCCACTGAATATATTAAACTACAAAATGTTTAAATCTGCTAAATATAATGTCCTACATATTTTGATAAATCTGAAAAGGATTAATTTGTTCCAAAAGTTCGTATCATCTCATCATAGAACCTTGGCAGAACCTACAAAAACAAAACCCATTATTTAGTTTCACCCTTCGATTTTTAGAACAAAAAGGCAAATCACAAGCTGGTTGGAGTTCACTTGCAAAGTAGAAGACCTGCTCAGCACCACACCACGACCCTCCAATAATGGCAACCTCTCTCATCAGGCCAGCACTATGAATGACCCACATTCCTTAAAGAGTTCTCAAGTGACACAAACATAGGAAGTGGAATAGTGAAACAAATACTGTTAGGCTTTCTCTGTATTCATGTTAAATACCTTGGTTAGTGCTACTACTATCATACACATCTAATTCAATTTGCCCTTTTCTGAAAAACCTGTAAGTCTACACAAATAATAAATGTCCACCAGTACTTCTTGTGGTCTCAGAACATTTTACAGCAAACCCAAGAGGCCAAAAACTGAACAATTTCCAACATAATTTTCCTACTCTTAATATTCCTCCTCAGAAACATTCTGGAGCAAACTGGAATTGCTTTTTCTTCTATCAAATTAATTTTCTTCTCCTTGTAATGCTATTTGACCAATTATGCATAAGCTATCTTTCAAAAGAACCCATTATTTTCCTTGTTATTTTAAACATGGTAGTAGTCACCTTACCTTTTCAACTAAGAAAATAAGACATATGTATTCACCTGAAGGGAAAGCTAAAAAGACAGTGCAAAAATGCATGAGTGCTGTAAGATTTTAATTGTAAGACAAAAGCACTACATTATAATTCCAACATAATCTTTCAGAAAATAAAATTTAGTGCAAATTAAAACCCCATTAAAGCTCACTATAAACTTCATATGAGGACTCTAGAAGTAGGCTTCTAGGACTGGAAACATTTGATTCCAACAGAATTTGCTTGGGGAGAATGTCTTGAAAATGTTAAATGGTACAGAGAACATCATGTCAGTTTAAAATCAAGTCAACCAGGTACTTAAAAGACATGCTAATAGGTCTTAATACATAAAACTGATTAGTAGTAGCATGCTTTATATATCAATGATTGCAGAAGCAATTTACAACAAATTTGATCATTTCGAAGTTTTATTGCCTTAACCAATCTCTTAACTACACTGTAATAAATAATCAAAGAGCCATCTTCCAATTTTAATTCATCAATCTGAGAGTGGCAAGTATTTTCTAAAACTGTCATTAAGCCCTGTGTACTCCAAGGCCATCCATACAACAAAAAAAAAGGGCAATTAAAGATTTTCAAGTATTTATTCAAAGCCTAGTTTCCATGACGTGTTAAATGTCACTTATGTACATTAGGTACAGGCATTGACCTACCCCTTATGTTTCTCCCAATGTTTCATTTTTAAAAGAAACAAGAGCCAGGAAAGTAACCTTGCTTTCAAATTCTAAAGTATGAACAGAATATAGTCTGATTACAAAATAAAATGTATACCAACCCTGAAGTAAACTATCTTCCCAACACCAAGTGATTTAGATGTTTTTCTATGTAGAATCCAATAACCTCTACTTAATCACTGTTTGATGGATTAGCACCTCTCCTAATGCTTACCTGTACTTTCTTTGAAGACTAAAAAATTCCTGACAACTAAAATAATTAATTTGGACTGCTGTAACATGAAACACTTTGCTACTACTTAGGACCTAATTCCTCTCAAACATTTCACCATATTTCAGGTATAGTTTTGTAAGGTCCTTCCCCCCCCCCTCCCATTTCCTTATATAAAGAATGCTTCTGTCCCCGTTATCCACCTTGGCCATGGCTGGGTGGCTCAGTTAGTCAGAGCCTTGTCCTGCAAACCAAAAGGTTACAGGTTCCATTCCCAGGTAGGAAAAATACCAAGGTTATGGGTTTGATTCCCAGTCAGGGCATGAACCAGAAGCCAACTGGTGTTTCTCACATCAGTATTTCTCTTTCCCTTCTTCTCTCACTAAAAATCAATAAACATACCCTTGGGAATTTTTTTTAAGTTACTTAAGTTTTTAAAATTTATACTTAGTGGTTACCTAACTGCTCTGT